ATAACATATAACAAAACCAATTTTACCATAGGCTAATTAATATAAGCAAGAGTTAAGTTTCTATAGTACTTCATTAGTGTTATAACAAAATGACATTGAATGAAATTGCTATATGAAGATCTGCTGTATTTGTAACTTCAAAAAGTATTAAGTATCATCTTGTACTTTTCTGACATTACACATTAATTTATCATTGTATTTTGAGTTTAGAAAAATTTAACCCAGGCATGATAATGTATTATTTTGGCAGTTAACCCAGATTATTTCCCCCCTTTTTGTTTATTTTAAAGAATATTTATTTCGTTAACACACGAACTTGCTTTCTCCCTTCAGATTCATTATGTACATCTCTATACTAATTATAATGATCCATTATAGACAATATTGGCTCTCTTATTTGTCTTGCTTTATATTTTCAAGAGGAAAAGCAGAATTTTACATGAAAGCCAAGTGCCATGTTTTCAAAAGCCAACTGCTACCCTGTTTCCCCGAAATAAGACAGTGTCTTATATTAATTTTTTCTCCCAAAGTTGAGCTAGGTCTTATTTTCAGGGGATGTCTTATCTTTCCATGCCCTAGGTCTTATTTTTGGAGGATGTTATTTTTGGGGAAACACGGTAGTTATATTAACACCTACAAGCTTAATCAGTGGTTTCTTTTGGAAGTTACTACGTGCCATCCTGGTGACATATTATGACATATTTATCACCTATGATAAAAGTAATAAATGGAAAAAATAATTTATAAAATGATTTTAAATTATTTAGGGATATCTTGAAAGTGCCACAAAACTAGGATTAGAAGTGCCTTTCTTAAAGAATGACAATGTAAACATTTTCTTGTTCTATCCTGCAGAATTATTTCCAAAAATAAATATTGAGTTACCTCACATTCTCATCTTTGATAAACTAAAGGTATTGGTATAGTAGCTGGCAAATTAGAATATTTGTATGTGGACTCGAATTCGAAAATAGGGATCCCCTGTCCCATTTTCATTCCCTGTCCATGGGACAACTCACTTTATTAAGCATCTTCATTTGCAGCCCGGATGAACTGGGTATGCCTGATCACAAGTTCTATAGTTTTTCCATTTTCTATAGTACTATTGGTTTTACCTTCATCACTCTACTTCCTCTTTGCTCTTTTTAAAAATCAAGCAGGCTAAATACTTTACTCCTGACTCTTTTTCAGGAAAGGTGGAGAGAAGCCAGGGGATTATTTCTTTTGACAACTAGTAATGTCTCAAGTTGTTAAAAATGATTTCTGTGTTTCTTTTAAACTCAGTGCTTACCTTACCTTTCTGTTAGACTCAACTTATTGTTATGCAATTAAATAAACCCAATAATCTAGAGTGCCAAAAAGTAGTTATTTCAGTTATGTTTCTTTGTATTGTGAATTAACCATTAAAGAGTGATATATCTAAAAAATGATAGCAAAAATTTATTTTATGACTAAATACATAAAGTCAAATACTTGTAATTGAGTTTTTAACTTGAGATCAAGGCAAAACTATATGGTAGGTTATTAGAATATGAATATTAGGAAGAGGTATTATATAGAAATGGTAAATTGTTAGCCTTTGTTGGGCTTTTTAAATTAATATCTTAATTTTTGCTTTGTTAAGACTTTATAAAGAACGATTAAGTCAGGTGGATGCAAAACTACAAGAAGTCATAGCTGGAAAAGCACCAGAATATTTGGAACCACTGGCAACTTTACAAGAAAATATGCAAATTCGTACAAAGGTAGCAGGTAGGAAAGTGAAACATCTTTTTCATATAGTAGAATATGAACTCTTCAGATTTAAAAGGTGTTTGTCAAGTGAGCATTTGTTGTTAATGAAATCACAAATATACTTACACTGTGGACCAGAGTGTTTCACTGTCAGTCAGCCCACAGTTATTTATTAAATGCCTCTTGCTTTTCTCTGCTGCTGTGAGGTATCTAAAAAACAAAAACAAAACAAAAAGAAGGCCCTCAAGCTGCTTATAGTGTTACAGTGTTGTTGATAAGTATTTCCCCAAGTTAAACAATTAGTAGTTTCATTAAGAGATACTGTTACTATCATAGTTTAATTTCCTAATAGATAAGTTAAAGTTCAATTTAAATACTCAGTAGTTTTCACTGTAAAAGTGATAAGGATTTTTTTTTTAATTTATAAAAATATTACAAAGTGTTTGATCAAGAGACAGAGAACAGGGAATTAGTCCTCAACCGGATAATTTAATGGTAATTATGATAGGATTGTTAACTCATTTGTGGCTATGAAAAAATGAAAATGTACTATAGAATTTGTGTGATTAAAATTTCACTCTTCTGTTTGTAAGTGGGATCCTACCTCAGAACTGTCTCCTAGCACTCATCACGAGGATATATCCATTTAAAGAGCACTTGGGTTTTCATAGTAAAACTAAAAATTGAATTTTAATGAAGATGCTGATTGTTTTCTTTTTTCAGACACTAATTGATCCTCATGTACTTGTTATACTAAATGCATTATTGATAATAGTTTCTTCTTGTTACTAAGCCTATCTTAATCCAAATTTTATTCTTGTGTGCTTAATATTAATATGTAAATATGTAGATGATACTCAATTTGTTTGCTGTCTGCATAATGGTTTAGCACACCCTTAAAAATAAGCATGTCTGTAATTTTCCTAGACATTCTGAAAGAACTGAGATTCCCTGGATATTTAGGAAATATTACTTGAGTCAGTTATTCAATATTCTGCCCTGTGGCCTTTCTTTAGTTTTTTATTGTATGGAGAGCAGTGTGTATGAATGTGTTGCTAATGGCATAGTTCTGAATATCTGTCCTTTGCTTTTACTATACAAGAAAGACATTTCTAGGGCCAACTGTGGCATAGAGTTTAGTGTATAAATCTAGAGCTCTGCCATCCTTATGATGGCATATTTGCGTGGCCATGTTGCTTTGGTATCTCTAAGCTAAACTAGAGCATCCATCCTGTAGGTAAAGCCTGGTCAGGAGCATTGAAACATCACAGATTTTGTTACATTAGTTTATACACTGAATCCTCTTGGAAGCTTTGGACTCTGAAAACACATAGTTCTTAAGGTTATGGTTTTAATGGCTAGAGTATCCAGTTGTTTGAATATATATGATTAATGAAACCAGAGCTTATTTACTCTGTTTCCATTATGAGTTTTCAGAGATTGTTTTTCATAGGAGAAGAGTTTTATTTTCATTTTAATCATTCTCTATCAAACATTTCAGAGTAGTCTCTGGAAGAAAGGGGTAAGAACTAAAATTTGTGGTGTAGTTTCTAGTTCTTCTTAAAAATATATATTTTTATTGATTTCAGAGAGGAAAGGAGAGGAGAGCCGGAAATATCACTTGATGAGAGGCTGCCTCCTGCACGCCCCCTATTGGAGATTGAGCTCGCAATGCAAGCATGAGCCCTGACCAGGAATCGAACCATTACTTCCTGGTTCAGAAGTCAACGTTCAATCACTGAGCCACACTGGCTGTGCTCTTCCTAGTTCTTAAACTCTTAGTTTTCTACTCTTTAATATATACCTTAGCTGAGCCTTTTAGTTTTAGATTTTAAGGAATAAGTTAGAATCACTGGTCAATTTCTTCTTAATTCATCTTAGAAAATTCAGTTAGGACTATTTCTGTAGGAAAGTGATATTGAAATTTTGTTGTGAACATAATCAGAATAATTGTGTTTGATTGCAGGAATCTATAGAGAGCTCTGCTTAGAATCTGTAAAGAACAAATATGAATGTGAAATTCAAGCTTCTCGCCAGCATTGTGAGGTACTGTTATTTTGCTTAATCTTTAAGCTAATTTCATTTCTTTAAGCCTTTTCTGAGTGTAGAAGTTTAAAAAGTAAATAAAATAAGTTTAAAAAATTAAATAGAACTTTAGTTCATCACTTGTGTGAATTTAAAAAAATATATAATTGTACTGGAAGCTGTATTGGAAATGGGACACAAAACAGAACTAAGTGAGATCATTTTAGAAGTTTCATAGCTGTTACCTTAAAAAGACTTGGTAATGATTCTAGCATTACTGATGGTAATGTCATCTAGCATTACTGAAGATAATGTATGTTATTTACAATAGCCAAGATCTGGAAACAGCCCAAGTGCCCATCAGTAGATAAGTAGAAAAAACATTTACACAATGGAATATTATGCAACTACTGTACAAAAAAGAGAAAGAATTCTTACCTTTTGCAACAATATGGATGAACCTGGAGAATATTATGCTAAGTGAAATAAGACATTTAGAGAAAGACAAATACCATATGATCTCACTTATATGTGGAATCTAATGAAATAAACTGATGAACCAGAGGCATAGATGCGTGGAACAGACAGCTGGCAGAGGCGAGAGGGGTGAGGGGACTGGATGAAAGAGGGTGAAGGGATTAGCCAAAGAACATATATACATAGCCCATAGACACAACAGTGAGGTGATGGCCACAGGGAATGGGGGTGGGGACTGGGTGGAGGTGGACAAAGTGCCGGGGGGTGGGGGGTGAAAAAGGGGGGGTTAGGAGGAGGATGGGAACATCTGTAATAGTGTCAACAATAACAATAAAGTTAAAAAATTAGTGTAATGTGCAAGTTAAGACTCAAATATGCATATTCACTAGGTCAGTTAGAATGTTGGGCTATGTTATCAATTTCTGATTCTCTAATTCTGTTTTCACATCTTTGGGCATAAATCTCTATGGCAAAAAAATAGATGTACTTTTCTATAGGTTCTGTTTATTTTGAATAACATTTACAAAACAGTGCTAATTTTACAGATAACTTTTCATAAAACTTAGGTAAGATTTCAAGTGTACTTCTGGAAATAAGAAAAGTTCTATAATGATTCTTATCTTATTTTAAACATACCAAATCTTTATAAATAATTAAAATACTAAAAGTAGATAAGTATGAAAATGGTGGATCTTGTTTTATTTTTCTGGTTACTACTGAAATGAAGCATCTTTTAAAAAATATATTTTTATTGATTTCAGAGAGGAAGGGAGAGAGAGAGAGAAACCTCAATGATTCTCTCTCATCATTGATTGGCTGTCTCCTACACACTCCACATTGGGGATCAATCCCGCAATCCCTGCATGTGTCCTGACTGGGCACTGAACAGTGGCCTCCTGGTTCATAGGTTGATGCTCAATCACTGAGCCATGCCGGCCAGGCCTGAAACATCTTTTTTTTTATTTTTTATTTTTATTTATTTTTTTATTTATTAATTTGTTACAGAGAGGAAGAGAGAGGGATAGAGAGTTAGAAACATTGATGAGAGAGAGACATCGATCAGCTGCCAAGGTACATGCCCTTGACCAGAATCGAACCTGGGACCTTTCAGTCTTCAGGCCGACACTCTATCCACTAAGCCAAACAGGTTTTGGCATCTTTTCTTTTCTTTTTCTTTCTTTCTTTCTTTCTTTTTTTTTTTTTTTTAAATATATTTTATTGATTTTTTTTATAGAGAGGAAAGAAGAGAGACAGAGAGTTAGAAACATCGATGAGAGAGAAACATCGATCAGCTTCCTCCTGCACAACCCCCACCGGGAATGTGCCCACAACCAAGGCACGTGCCCTTGACTGGAATCGAACCTGGGACCTTTCAGTCTGAAGGCTGATGCTCTATCCACTGAGCCAAACCGGTTTCGGCCTGAAACATCTTTTTGATGTTTGCTGGATGCTTATATTTTTTTTTTCCCCCTAAGAAATGCCTGTTTATATCTTTTAACTTAATGTTGGGCTATTAGGCTTTCCCTCATTGATTTTAGAGGTTTTTCATATAATCTGGATACAATTGTTCCCCTGGTTATATGTTTTCAAATATTTTTACCCAGGCAGTGAGATGTCTTTGAACTCTCTTTGATGACTTGATGAACAAAAGTTTTACATTTTAATGTAGCTAAAGTTTAATCTTTCCTTTATGATATGTGCTTTTTGTGTCTTTCCTACTTTGAGCTGAAAAGATGTATCTTCCTTTAAAATTTGAAAATTTGCTTTTTAACATTTAAATCGATGAACTACCTTTAATTACTTTTTGTGTGTGGTATAATGTATGGATCTAATGTATGGCTAGGTAATTTCAACACACTTATATACTCCACTAGAGGCCTGGTGCATGAAATTCATGCATGGGGGTGGGGGCCGCGTCCCTCAGCCCAGCCTGCACCCTCTCCAATCTGGGATCCCTTGAGGGATAACCGGCAGTCAGATATCCCTCTCACAATCTGGGACTGTTGGCTCCCAACCGCTGGCCTGCCTCCCTGATTGCCCCTAACCACTCTGCCTGCCAGCCTGATCACCTCCTAACCACTCCCATGCCAGCCTGATCGACACCTGACTGCTCCCCTGTTGGCCCAATAGCCCCCAACTGCCCTCCCCTGCCTGCTGGCTGCCCCCAATTGCCCTCCCCTGCCGGCCTGGTCATCTTCAACTGCTCTTCCTTGCAGTCCTGGTCGCCCCCAACTGCCCTCCCCTGCAGTCCTGGTCGCCCCCAACTGTCCTCTCCTGCAGTCCTGGTTACCCCCAACTGCCCTCTCCTGCTGGTCTGATTGCCCACAACTGCCCTCCCCTGCCGGCCATCTTGTGACCACATGGGGGTGGCCATCTTGTGTGAGGGTGTGATGTTTAATTTGCATATCACCTCTTTATTATATAGGAAGGATTGTTTACCCATTAATCAGTAATCATAACTCTTTTTTATTTTAAATCTCCATGTATATGATGGCTGGTTTGTAGCTTTTTTCATTTGTTCTATTGATCTTTTTGGCTGTTTCTGAATCAGTATCAAAATTCTGTTTTTACAGCTTTCAATCTAGTAAATCTTGAAAACTCAATAATCTTACCGTGTTCTTTTTGTTCTCACAATTGTTATTGTTAAAATATTTTTTAAGCCGAAACCGGTTTGGCTCAATAATAGAGCATCGGCTTGGGTAAAGTCCCAGAAGTGGAATTATTGGGTTGTAAGGCAGTTGTATTTTTAATTTTTTGAGGTAACTCCATACTGCTTTTCATAGTAGCTGCACCAGTTACATTCCCATCAACAGTGCATGAGGGTTCCCTTTTCTCCATATCCTCGCCAGCACTTCTTGTTTGTTGATTTATTGATGATAGTGATTCTGGCAGGTGTAAGATGATATCTCATTGTGGTTTTAAATTAAAAAAAATTTTTAAATTGATTTTAGAGAAAGAGGAAGGGAGAGGGAGAGAGAGAGAGAAATATCAATGAGAGAGAAACATCAATCGGCTACCTTTGGCTTGCTCCCCCATTGAGGATTGAGCCTGGAATTTAGGCATGTGCCCTGATCTGGAATCGAACCAGTGACCTCTTGGTGTGTGGGTTGATGCCCAACCACTGACCCACACCGGCTGGGCACATTGTGGTTTTAATTTGTATCTCTCTGATGATTAATGACATTAAGCATCTTTTCGTATATCTGTTGGCCATCTTGTATGTCCTCTTTGGAGAAGTGTCTATTCACGTCCTTTGCCCATATTTTATTTGGATTGTGTGGTGTGTGTTTTTTGGTGTTGAGTTGTAAAATTTTTTAGTTGTTTAATAACATCTTTTTAAAAGTTACTTTTTATTTTCTGTTGTTGTATAGAAAAGTAATTTTGTATATTGATATTACCGTATTTTTCAGACCATAAGACGCACTTTTTCCCCCCCAGAAGTGGGGGGAAAAAGTCCCTGCGTCTTATGGTCCAAATATAGCCTACACATATACTTTAAAAAAAAAGTTTTTTTACTTGCCCGGCTCTGTGTGGTCTCTGTGTGCTTGCCCGGCTCTAAAATGGTTCTAAATGCTGCTGTTTACTTTACAGGGTTGATTACATGTGTTTATGACTGTGATGTTGGGTTTTAATGCACATAAAATATTTTAGGACACTATTTGTTTCAGAATCTTTTTTTCTTCATTTCCCTTCTCTAAAAACTGGTGCGTCTTATGGTCCGGTGGCGTCTTATGGTCCGAAAAATACGGTATATCCAACCTTATTTATTTCTTGTTTTAATTACATGTTTTTGTGTTTTCCATGTAGATTATGTCATTTGTGAATAATGCCAGTTTGTTTCTTTCAGTCTGATCTTCCTCTTAATTTATTTTACTTGTCTTATTGTCAATAGCACCTCCAGTACAGCATGGAGTAGAAGTGGTAAAAGCAGAGCCTTGTGGTATTCTTGATTTTAAGGGAATGCTTTTAACAGTTTTATAATAAATATATTTACTATTGAGTTTTGGTTAATACTACTTTTATTAAGTTAAGGAAATTACTTTTGTTTCTTGTTTTCTAAGAATTTTTACCATGAATAGATTGTATTAAATTCTTTGTGTGCATCTATTGAATTAGTCATGGTTTTATGCTCTTAATATATTAATGTGGTGACTTACATTATTAATGGATTTTCTAAAGTAAAACTATACTTGGTTTCCTGGAATTACTATTTTTCTTGTGTATAGCCAGATTCATTTGCTCATATTTTGTTTAGAAGCTTAATTTCTATATTTATAAGTTAGATTTAATTTTTCATTCTCATACTGCCTTTAATTTGATTTTAAGATTTATAAAATGAGTTAAGAATATTCCATATTTTTCTCTTCTATAGAGGTATATATTTAAGATTGCAGCCATTAGTTTCATGAGTGCTTAGTACACTTTGCCTTTATGATATATTTTTTAAGTCTCAAAAAAAAAAGATGGAAGAAAGTACAAAAGAATGAGTTTACAACATGATGCCCATCACCCCTGAATATGTAACATATACTTTAGACAAATGAGGGACATTTTCTTATATAATGACACTACAATCATTAAAATCAGGAAATGTACATTAATATGTTACTGTCATCTAATCTTCAGCCTCCATTTGTTTTAGTGGATATTTATTATCCAATAGCACCTTCAGAGCAAAGAGATTCATTCAGTTCAGAATCACATGTCTTTGTCATTGCATTTAGTTCTCATGTCTTTTTTAGTTTTCTTCAATGTGGAATACCTCAGTCTATCTTTGACTTTTGTAAACTTTGCATTTTTGAAAATGTTAGGCTAGTTATTTGCAGAATAACTAGCCTAACGTTGATCTGCTATTTCTTCATAAAATCAGGTTTTGTATCTTTGATAGGAATATCACAGCAGTGATACTGTATTTTTTCTGATTGAATTCTACCAAGTACAATTTTGATATATTCCATTATTGGTGATGCACACTTTGATCACTTGATTTACTTGGTATCTTCCATGTTTCTCTAAGTAAAGTTACTTTTTCTCATTGTGATTAATAAGTATACAGAGGAAAAGTTCTTTGAAGCTAGACAAATACATCATTCCTCATACTGCTATCAATTTATTTACTTATGTAAGTCTGGACTCATTGTTCCTTACTCATATTTTTTGGTCTGCTTCATCTTTCAATTATAGAGGAAAGTATATCAGAATTTCTCTCTGTGGTGGTAGATTTGCTAATACCTCTTTATATTTCCTTTCTTTTTGTTCCAAATTTCTCTTCTGAATTAACTAAGAAAACACACATGCATACTATAATTTTTTATTTTTTATTGATTAAGGTATTACATGTGTACCTATCTTCCCATTGTTCCCTCCTCCCCACTCCCATACATGCCCTCACTCCCCAGTGTCTTGCGCCCATTGGTGATGTTTATAAGCATGCATACAAGTCCTTCTGTTGATCTCTTATCTCCCCCACACCTCCCCAATAATCCCTCTGTAATTTGACAGTCTGTTTGATGCATTACTACCTCTGTATCTTTTTGTTCATCAGGTTATAATGTTCTTTATTATCCATAAATGAGTGAGATCATGTGGTATTTGCTATCATTGCCTAGCTTATTTCACTTAGCATAATGCTCTCCAGTTCCATCCATGCTGCTGCAAATGGTAAGAATTCCTTATTTTTTATAGCAGCATAGTATTCCATTGTGTAGATGTACCATAGTTTCCCAATCCACTCATCTGCTGATGGGCATTTGGGCTATTTCCAAATCTTAGCTATGGTGAATTGTGCTGCTATGAACAAAGGGTGCATATATCCTTTCTGATTGGTGTTTCTAGTTTCTTGGCATATATTCCTAGAAGTGGGATTACTGGGTCAAATGGGAGTTCCATTTTGAGTTTTTTGTGTTTTTTCCCCTCTTCAAATATTGTATTATTTATTTATTTATTTATTTTAATAAACCTTTATTGTTCATATTATTACAAATGTTCCTCATTTCCCCCCCCCCCACCAGGTTCCTACCCCACCCTCTGCCCTTTCCCCACCCCCCATTGTCCTCATCCATAGGTGCACAGTTTATGTTCAGTCTCTTCCCACACCCCACTCCTCTTTTCCCCAAGAATCATCAGTCCACTCCCCTTCCATACCTCTGATTCTATTATATTCAACAGTTAATATTGTTCATCAGGTTTTTTAATTCCCTTGGTTTTTAGTTTCACTTGTTGATAGTTATGTATTTGTTGTTCATAATTTTTATCTTTATTTTCTTTCTCTTCTGAAAGAACCCCCTTCAAC